AGGGTAACTCTATATTAATTTATATTACTGTTCATTATATGTAGTTTAAAATTTAGATATTTCGTGAGCTAGCAGCACTATGGTACAGTGGTAAGAAAGGGCACAGTGACCCGGGTTCGACTCCCAGTGAGTGCAAAATTAAGTGGTTCTTTTTCGTCATAAAATAGTTACAAGACTTAAAATTTTAAGTCATATTTAGTTGACATAGTGTTTCTTCATTTAGGAACCCGAGAGGAAGTCACCTTCAATCTACGCCTGTGAGGTAGAAACACCCCTCAGTGTTGGTGTACCTCCGTGGCACACAATCGATTGTGTTCACGTGACGTCATCAAACTCTCAAATCCAAAACTAAAGAGCCCCTAAAGATTTTATCCTTATCAGGCATAAGAGGTACTACATTTATATCTGTTTACAACTTTCCAGCTCAATAGCGTCCTTCGTTTAGAAACCAGCGCATTTTGAATTTCGGAGTTATGGCGGTGCGGGACATGAAGCTATAGTAGCTAAGATCGCTTTTGTCGAAAAATGTACACTTTTCTCTTGATTTTTAGCCATTTTAGGAGTTAAAGCATTAGCAAAAAAGCTTGTGTAAATGTTTTTTAGTTCGGTTCAGATAATCAGTGGTCTAGATAGCCAAAGTAAGTTCTAGATGTTTTACACTATTTTCCGGTCGCCATATTGGAGGACTAAGGAGGTCCTCCAACATGGCGGCTCCATACTAGGCTCTGTAATTTTGCGCGGAACATTTCGACGAATACCTCAACTTTGGGACAACGAAAACACCTTCAACTTGGAGAGCTTTCTCCTTTATTGATCGTTTATAACATCACAATTTCTTGATTTTACCCACTGAACTGGTTTTTGATTTTATTTTTTATTGCGTGACAATGCACACACTCTATATAGCGGCTGCAAAATGTAGAAAGCATCTGGAACTTGCTTTGGCTTTCCAGGTTACTGATTATTTGTACTAAACAACAAAACATTTACATAAGCACTTTTCCTAATGTTCTAACTTATGAAAAGGCAATACGCGAAACGTGACTTTCGCCTTGCAGCATATGGAGGAGTTGTGTTACAACAGTTTGAATTTATAGATTCATTTTCACGCAATAGGACAATGACTGTCATTGGCTGTCGACAATCGATGCTGACTACCCCAGTCAGGCAAATTATAGTTACCAAACCGCGGAAGAATCCACAGCAGATTGGAGGAGCCTATTTTCGAATCTGTGAGCGGAGCAATCTCGAAATAAATGTTGCGCTGCAGACGGAATTGGGTAGCAAGTGAACTGACATGGAACTTCAACATCTCTTCTTTGATTCTACGGAGGAACTGAGTCGGCAGGGTTATTTTCAGTGGATTTATTCGCCTCGAGCGGTGATTCTTTTAGTAGTGGAAACCCAAACAACGATATAACTCGCCGTTACATCGACCTGTGGAGCTGGCAAACAACAAAAAGTACAACACAGCAACAGGGTGAGTAGATTTTATTACAAAATATAAGAAGAATTGACTTTTAAAGCAAAACCGTTGCGCTCCCGTACAAACTTTATAAATTCAAATCGTTGTAACACAACACCTCCATATGCTGCAAGGCGAAAGTCACGTTTTGCGTATTCAAACTCGGTCGTTATGTAATAGTATATTTCGGCCGTATATGTCACGTTTCGCTACAAAAAGATAAAAAACAAATGAAAACTCTTCACAAACAAAGAAGTAAAAATAATAATATTACTGTACCAGGACTGGTGATAAACATTAGAGCTTGTAGTAAAGCGGTCATTCCGGAACCATTGTCATCTACACCGGAAGAGGTCGGGACCGTGTCATAGTGGGAACCAATCAAAACCATTTTATCGTCACGTGTTCCGGTGTAGCGACCAGGCAGTCGACCAATGATATTCACTCCTGGATACTAAAAAGTATAACGACTATACAGATACATTCACGTATTATTGTAAATCACGAGAAGTTGAGGGAGAGAACAGATAGCTGTGCCCCGTGATAATTTTTTCAAATCTACTCAAACTTTGAGTCGTGTTATGAGCTGTAAAATGACACAACGTCAGTGTTACTTACCAGTCAGGTGAGCACGTTAAAATAGCCTAACAGGTTTAGACAGAACTAATAATAGATTTCAGATAATTTTCATGGGAAGTCGGTTAGCCATGCATGGGGATCTATTCACCGAAACCTAGAGGGTCGAATCTCATTAGTATCTCTAAGATTTTGAATGAATTTCTTCTTTGAAATACGGGTCACTTGGCTCTGAAATAATAGACAAAGGTTTAACTTTTTGGCTTACAATAGAAAACAAAGAGTAAAGCTATTTTTGTTATTGCTATCAACATTTCCAGTACATCTGAGAAGATCTTCAAGGTACAGCATTTCAATCATGTGTATTACCTATACTAATCAGCTTAAAGCGCTCTTATACCTTCAGATACAAATTTTTCTCCAACAACCATTTTTTCGAAACATGAAGATTCAACATCTCTGACCGTTTGTAAAACGTATTTGGAAACGATTTTGCTCTAATTACTTCTTGATTTACGTTTAAATAAAGAAATCTGCACACTGGTAGCTATATTTTAACATAGCAACGCCTGTAGCAACGGTTGTTTGCAGTCTAAAAGTACTTACAAAATGGTTTCATTAGGCGATTTGCATAATGGCGTCATTTGACTACAACTACCAGAATCCTTCACTTTTTCTGTTTCTTATGCTAATTAGGGCAATTGTTATTTAAACTCCACTGGGAATTCAGATTTAAATAATAAAACAATTGAAGGAAATCTGGTAGGTGTAGTCAAATGACGACAACGTGCAAATCAGTACATTTTAATTATACTTCTACAGGAAAGCGTGAGAGAACTGAGTGTACTTATGAGAATTGTGTTTCATAGTCCTCAACATTGTTTCCTGTACCACCTTATACGCCCCTTATACTTGGTTAACATTTTTATGACTGGTGTGTATTCGGATATTCAATAGAACATTTATGTAAAACCTTTCGACATACGCACTCCTCCCCGCCTCTGCCCCTCCCCGTCCACAGGGCTAATTTGGGCTCTCGGAGACCGAAGTAAAACTTAAAAGCCTTACTTCTCAAACGACCAAATAGACGGATCACCAATATTTCGCACACGATATCTCCATTGGGTTTCAACCGAATGTTGTCCAATTTTCATGATCGGTGAAGGACAAGATTACCTAGGTCGTAAACCTAGAATCTGCAATTTATGAAATGATTTCCCTGATATTCACTTAATATAGTTGATATTAGTTCCTGAATATTAGTGAACTTTTTCCCGTTTTCACGAGAAAAAACCCTCAAAACACGGTTTTGAATTCTGAGGTTTATCCCCTGGACAATTTGCTCATGGACAAGACGAACTTAATTCCATGCTTCTCGAACGTTATCGTGTTTATAATAAACACCACTTTTGTTAGTTATTCATTAACCATTGTGGCATGTGACCTCGAAAAGCTCATTTTTGAAGTCTGAGTGCGAAATACTTTGACGTGGTACCAAAACTGTCCCACAGAGTTGTTGTTGTTGTTGCTTTATTTGAAAAAAATGGAAGGTATAACAATAACTTAATAAATAACTTGAAAAAATCACACGATTCTGATCGGCTAAAAAGGAACGCAGTTTTCATGTAACACGAGTGCAAATTTGAAACACGAGTGCAATATACAACGAAGATATCCGAAGTTAGTGCGAAGGCACTCGTGTCTACCGACGGTAATCCGCGGTATTTCGAAGATGGATGATGTTCACCCGAAGCCTTCCGAAGATAGCCCGAAGATAATTGAGCACTTCCAAAGATAACTCGAGCACTTCCAAAAATCAACGAATACCACCCGAACATATATATTGGAACACCTCCGGCAATCATCCGAGCCCTTTCGAAGATTGCCGATCATTTCCGACGATTGCCGAAGATCACCCGTAGCTCACTGAAGACTTTCGAACATTTTTGGAAATTTTGCGAATATTTCGGAACAGGAGCCGATTATATATGGCTCCTGTTCGGGCATGTTCGAAGGTACTGGAATACGAAACACTGCAGCCTGCCTAAGGAAACAATGTGAAGACGACCTTAAATAGTGTTTTCAAGTACATTATTAACAAGTTATCACATGATTATTCTCGTGCTATTTGGAATAAATAAGTACTTGTAAATTTCACTCGCCCTATAAACCCTATTCATAAATGGCTTTCAATTAGAAATTCTCTTGTAAGCATTTAAATTAGCCCAACTAACCTCGTTTTTGAGTTGATAATTCAAAAGAAGAATTTTTACTCTCAAACGAGGTTAGCTGGGCTAATTTAAATGCATACCAAAGAATTTCAAATTGGAAGCCATTTATGAACAGGGTCTATGGGCTTGTGCAATTTTGTTAGCCTTTTAAAAAATTTACTCTTGTTTATTTATTCCAAAATGAACTCGAAGTCATGTGAATACCTATGCAAATTTTCGACGATATCGATTAGATTAGCATATGTCGCTACGGCAGCAGGCACATGTCTTCTGCGCTGCCATAAACTCGGGCGCCATCTGCGAATAACTCTAACGAAGATTAGGAAGATGCTGTAAAAAACTACAAATTCAGAGCTAGGAAAGGTAATGGCAAGTTTCAAAGGTTTTCCTTAAACCAAGCTGTAAACCGTAAATTCCTCTTTCATGTCTCCTGTTCTACTTAACAAATAGATTCCATGTTGCCGTGCGTCTGTTCAGTAATAGATCACAGATGACGTCAAAATGTGGTAAGAACAAAAAAGTGGCACACGAGG